AACAGTGAGAAGGTTTGAAGGTCACTGTCTCTTAGGTCTTATAACTTTTTATCCTGTGCACCTGCCTACTGGGCTCAGTGTCCAGGATGGCAGGATGAAGGAAGGTTCCACATTCAGGGACCTGGAGGGCTGGCTGCAGTGAAGAGTCTTGAGCTGGCCTGATGGGGGTGACGGGGGGTCTGTCGTGGGCATAGATGGGGCTTGGGTGTCTCTTTGGTGGGTACCTGCTCCCATTGGGAGCAGAGACAAGAGTGAGCTTGCCCTGGCTTGGGGTGTGGAGAGAGGCAGTCATGGCTGGGCCCTCTGATCAAGACCCAAAGAACCCTTTGCTCAGGACGGAGGGCAGCACCCAGGACTGGCACCTTCTGAGATTTCTCACCAGTCTCTCCAGCCCTGGGTGCCTGGGAGGAGCTTTGTTCCTGGAGCACTTAATTCCACAAACAAATATTTGTCACGTTCCTGCAGGGCCCAGGGTAGGGGCAGGACATAGCTGTGCCATCACGTGTTCTTGGTCAGGTGGGCGGGTGACTGAACAAGATGCTTGAGGTCCCGAGTGTAAGCCGGTGCTCCCTGCTGGGGTTTGTCTGCTGAGGAAGGAAGGTCGGGAAGAAAATGCTGAGGTCCTCAATCCACCCCCAGTCAATAGCTGCTGAGCACCTATTAGGTTTCTCAGCCTGTGCTGGGTGCCAGGGTAGGATGCTCTGTCTCCTGCTGAGGACAGAGGGCTGAGGATAGATCGCAAGGAGCTCTGCACAGCTGGGACCATGATCCCCATTTTACAGGTGAGGAAACTGAGGTCCCGGAGGTAGAGTAACTTGCTGGTAAGTAGTAGGGTCAGGACTGGAACCCATACCTCAAAGGTTTGGTGCGAGGACCACAGGTGTGTGTAGAGCCAGCAGGGGGCAGTGCTGGGAGCTCCTGGAGGGTGCACCTTTCCTCCCGTTCTGCACTTGGAGGAACCCCATCCATCCCCAGACTGAACTCAGCTTGTCTTCTCCTCCAGGAAGTTTCCATGATAGCCCTCAAGCTTCTGCCAAGGCATTCTTTTCTCCGTTTCCTCTGCACTGGCTTACCTCAGAACAGCCCTGTCACTGGTCACTTGCAGGTGTCCCTCACTGGGCTGCCGGCTGCTTGAAGGCGAGACCCGTGTCGTTTGTTCTCGGCATCTCTAGCAAGGGGCTTGGGACATGATGGGTGTTCAGGAAATGCCTGAATAGATGTGGATGAGAAAACCAAGAGTAGAGGGGTGAATGGCGTTCCTTCCAAAGAAGGGAAGTAGGCCCAGAGAGAGGGACAAGATTTACATGCATTTGGGGGAGGGCAGGCCCCCAGGGACAGCTCCCGCACAGGCACTGGATGGTAGATTAGACGGTGCTGCCAGGAGGGAGCCCTGGCAGGTCCTTGAGCAGGAGCATGGCAGGGCAAGCCTTCCTTTGGCCCTGGGCCAACCCGTGCTGACCCTCCTGCAGAGGAGGTGGGAGGGCAGCTGTACACTCCAGGCCTGTGGCCTGACTCCCTCTGTAAGTTCTTCCTGCCTTCTCACCTGGGGCCCTCCAACTGCACCTGGGAAAGGTGTCGGCAGCCATGGGGAATGAGGGCTGCCTGCTCACTGCCGGAGCTCAGGAGAGACCCGCCTGAAACCTGGGGGTCAGTTAAATGGCTGGCTCTTTCATTTGTTTACTCAGTAAATGTTCATTGGGCATCCATGGGTGCCTAGACCCTGCCTGGCATTGGGGTGGGGGACCCTGCCCAGGGGCTTGGCCTTTGGGGGTGCATGAAGGCCACCCCCATGGCGGTGCTAGTCTCCCTCACCCCACTGGCGGGCTCACAGCCCCTCCGCCACCCTCTCCCGGCCCAGGCCCACTGTGGGCCCGGCAGGAAGACAGCCCCCCCTGGGTTGGGGGCGGGGCCCTCTGGGGGGAGGAGCCTCTGGCAGACCCTCCCCGAGGAGCGAGTGGGGAGGGGGCGGGCCTCTGCAGCCCCGCCTGGCCCCACACAGGCAGCTGTTCCCGGAATAGGGGTTTTAAACTTTTTTTTGTTGGCGAATATGCATGTGGTCTTAATTATTTATACGCAGCACTTATCTCCCCCAAATGTTTTATCGGGATTCGGCAGATCCGAGAGCGCAAGATGGAAGCCCCGGGCTGGCGCGGGGGGCGGAGGGAGGGGACTGGAGGGGAAGTAGTAGGGAGCGGGGGAAGCCGGTTAAGGTGTCCCCTAAATCAGCCTGGGGGTGAGGGAAGGAAGGACCCCATTCATGGTCGGTTTTACTCTTTCAGACCCAGCTGGGCGTTGGGAAACCGCTTCCGGTGTCGGGCCTGCGGGAGATAACACCTGGGGCGGATTGACTTAACCTCTCTAGGCTCCAGCTTGCGAAGGTCCCGCCAATAGGCGGCGCCAGGCCGGGGTGCGGTTCTTCCCGTTGCGTCCCCGGGGGAAGCGAAGGAGGATGGAGTCACATCTCTCAGCAGCAACCCAGGAGGCCTTAAGAAGGGTCCTGGCTCTTTCCAGGTGGGGGTGCCTCGGAATCCCGCACTTGTTAACCTGCCGGGCGTTGTGGTCTCGTTTAGTGCTCACCGCCCGCTGGAGACAGGAGTGGCCTTATCCTGCCCATTTTACAGATGAGGAAACTGAGGTCCAGAGGAGTCATCAGTCTAAGGACCTCCAGCAGAGCAGGGGTTGATGCCCACGTGGACTCAGGAGGGTGGTCTTTCCCGGAGCAAGGGGAGGGTAGTGGGCCGGTCCCTCCCCTCACTTGGCTCCTTCCCCCGCAAGTCCCCCCAGTTGCTATGTCCTCTGTATGCCCTCCATTCCTGGCCGTTTGGGCAGCGCCACTGAAAATTCCTGGAAGCGCCTCCCGGGAACACCCCCCCACTTGCACCCGCCCACCCTGCGCTTGCAGGATTTGCAGGGGGAGATGCTCTAAGGCCAATCCTCAGGGCCCCCAGGCACCTGAGCCTGAGGGCCCAGAAGCCCCCTACTCCTCCCACCCGCAGTGCCCAGCGCGCCCTGGCCTGACCCGCGGTCCCGCCCGCACCCAGGAGGCCCTCTGGGGTCTGGGGCTGAATCGCCGGCCATACAGGCGTAGCAGAGGATCCCGACGGGAGGTCCGGGGACTCGGGGAGGCGGGGATGGCGCGACCTGGTGGGGAGCTGGGCGGGGTCGACCCTAGCTGCCAGGAGTTCCTAGGGGGCAGAGAGCGGGCAGGGAGGGTCGAGATTTGAAGGTGCACCCTGAAGCCTCCTGTGCCTCGGGGGTGGGGGTGGGGGCTGGCTCTCCCCTCCCAGTCTGGGGCTTCCGGGGGGGCCCCGTGGCCCTCGCTAGGAGGGTGTGAATGTTTGTGCTGGGGAGGGGAGGACTTCCTTGAACTTGCCTCTTGGGGCTGGAATCTTCCCCTTTGGGGCCAGGTGGGGGCCGGGATGGAGTGAGCTCTTGGGCCCCTTGGAATCTAGGCTTCCTCGGTTGGGCCAGGCCTGGGAGGGGGAGTCTCATCCATGGCATTCCCTGAATTTCACTCCTGGCCGCAGAGTCGAGGCTCTCTCCCGAGGTAAAGCTCTTTCAGAGGGAGATTCCCGCGAGCTCCGGGCGGCCCTGGGTAATTGGTTCATCGATTAACAGCTCGGGCGTGGGGGGCGCTTCAGCGGCGGGGCGGGGCGGCTGAGTCAGGGGCCCAGCCCCGGGAGGGTTGCTGGAGGGAGGCGGAGAAAGCAGAATTCCAGATTGGGGAGGGTCTCTGTGCCTCCCCAAGACAGCGAGGACCCCCCCCCCCGGAGAGGCAGCTGAGGGGCCTCCGGGTGCCAAGCGCCAGCCGAGTCCCCTTGGGCCCCTGGAAAAATTGGTTCCCACCAACCAACCTGTTCCCATAGCCAGAAGTTGCCATGGTGACCCCCTCCCACCTTCAGCTACAGCTTTTCCAGTAAAACCACTGCAGAAATCCATACTTCCCGACAGGCACGCCCCCGGCCCCCCGCCCCCCACTCTGCGCGGTCTGGGAGCGGCTGGGAGTTAACCCTCCGCTTGCCGGCGGACCGCGGACGCTGTTTGGGGGAGTCAGGGGAGTGAGAGCTGGCAGTGGGGAACCTAGGCTGGAGAGAAGGTGGACAGGGGACAGGCCGGCTACCTTCTCCCTCAAGGCCCCAGGGTGGGACTTAAGCAACTCTAGGAAATTGGAGGGGAGAAGGGAAGCTGGCTCTCCACTCGCCCACCTTAGAGGAGTCTTGGGGCGCCAGGGCTACTACCGGTGGAACCCGAGGGCCCTTGCTGCGGTCCAGGGGTGACTTCCGCTGCACTTGGTGGGGTGGCAGATCCACCCACCCTGGCCCACAGCTGCTGGCCATATGATCTCTCCCCTCTTCCTCTTCTGCCCCTCCTCCCAACACAGACCTCTTTCCTAGAGGCAGGGAGGGCCCAGCTCAAGCTAAGCGACCCAACTGCTTGGCTGTGTGTCCACAGGTCTGCTCTGACGGGCAGCTGGGCAGAAGTCACTGACCGCTCGGAGTCTCAGCTCCCTCCCCTGAAAAGTGAGGATAAGGAACTGGGCTGCTTGAAAGCTTGAGGAAGAAGAGGGGCTCTGCTCTGCTGGGCCCCAGAGTACAGCCTTCCCTGTCTGATGGGGAAGGGGCCCCTAGGGACCCCGAGGCTGTGCGGGCCCAGGGGGCCCAACTCTGCGGCCCAGCCTGTTTCCACTTTCAGAGCTGAGGGTGGGAGATGCTCTAATTGTTCTCTCTGTAGCCCAGGATGAATAATTGAGAGGTCTTTTAAGAGAATTAATTAGCCCGTTTATTGACTGTAAATGCTTTGCTGTAGCTGAGGAAGGGAAGGCTCCGACGCCTGCACCTGCTGCCTGCCCGCAGCCTGACACTGAGTTTGCACTCGGGGTTCCCTGGGCGCACCAGGGCTCAGCCTTTGCCTTCTCCCAGAGGTGGGTGCTGGCTGCCAGCCCCTACCTGCTGGCCTCTTGCTGCAAGGTTCTGCCCCTCGGCCCCAGCCCTCCTCTGTTTATCTTCCAAGAGGCAAGTGGGGACCCTCCTTCCCCAAGGACTGTCGCAGTGTCAGGAGCACTTGCCCAGCACGCTGGCCTCCTGTCCTGTCCTGGCTCTGGGCAGGGTCCCATGTCCTCTGGGGCAGAGGCACCCCGCCATGGGGGACCTGGGGCTCCACGGGTCTCTCTCCACTCCATCCAGCACTCCTCCTGCGCCCCAGCCCCTGTGTGGGCCTAGGGAGTGACAAGAAAGTAGGAACTCATCCCGCCCTCCAGGCTGAGGTGGGGGGGGGCCAGGCGAGTAAACTACTGGTCATCTGTGGAATGGGGGGTGGGGGCAGGCTCTGCCAGCCTGCACAAGGCTGGCTTTCTAGATGGGTACTAGTAATAATAGCTAACATTCCTATAGCTTTTACTCCAAGCCAGGCCCTGTTCTAAGCACATTACAGGGACTAACCCATTTAATCTTCCCGTGTAGACCCCATGAAGGCAGGGGCGTGGGCTTGTGCCCAGAACCTAGCATGGGGGAGGGCTTGTTGAATGAATGAGCGAACAAGTGGATGCGAGGAAACTGAGTGGCAGAGCTGGGCTTACGCTCCCTTTTGGTCTGGCGCGAGGACCCACACTCTGCTGTGTCAGCCAGCCCCGGGGACCAGCGTGGAGGAAGAGGTGGGGACCCTGAGCGCCATGCCCTGAGGGGACCTCCTGCCTCTGTGGCTGCTGGGCACCTGTGAACATGAGAGCAGGTGTCTGCAGGCCCAGGGAGACCTGCCTTAGAAACCCCAGTCCTGCAGCTGTGGGGCACATGGGTGGCAGAGGGGAGACCCAGCTGGGGAGTCGGTTGGAAACCAGAGCACTTGGTCCTAATGAGCCACGGCAGGGCCTGGGCTGAGACCACTGCAGTGGGGTTGGGGAGGCGGTGACAGCTCTGATCTGTCGGGGAGGAGAGGGGAGAAAAGAACTGAGTGACTCATGCACCTGGAGATGAGGGGACAGAGGATTGGAGATGACCCCAGGGGGGTCTGAGGGTGAGGGCAGAGCTCAGGAGACACAGTGGAGTGACTCTTCCTGGGCGGACCCCCAGAGAACTGGGATGACCCTGGCCAGTTTCTCCCGTCCTCTTTCCACCCTCCATCCCCCACCTTTGTGCCCAGGAGGCTGCCTTGTGGGTGTGGGTCCACATCAGTGGGCTCCCTCTTCCTCTGCCTCTTCCAGCAGGAGACTCAGGCAGACCTGGGGGCATAGAGGACAGTGCCTTGGGTGGGGGCACCTCCCGTCCCCAGCCTGCAGCTCCTGTCGGCTGCCCGCTGCCCTCCCCAGCCACCCAGCTCTCCTTCCTGGGCTGCTGTCAGCATCGCTGTTTGTTTGCTTTTCTTGAGCCTCTGCTGTGTGCCAGGGACTTCAGTACAGCCCGACAGCCCGACGGGGCGGCCTTGTGCAACAGCTGACTTTCATGTGACGCCTGACTTAGACGATGACCCTAAGTCACAAGTTAGTGAGTTGTGGGGCCAGGGCTCAAACCCACATTTCTGAGACAGTCCTCACCCCCACCCCCACCTTGCAGTGACACCTATTGCTTGCCCACCTCCTCTTCCTTCTCTGGGAACCGCTCCTCCCTGCCCTCAGCAGGGTGATGGTAGGAGCACAGGGACACCTCACCTAAGGGCTTCTGCAGCTGAGCACGAGAAGCAGTCCTCCCCGGCGGCGGCTCGCGGGACCTAGGAAAGCTGGCGCATGCCGAATGCACGGGGCCCGGGAGCTGAGGAAGGTCCCTGTCGGATGGGGTCTGCGCCCGAGGCGGGGGCAGACGCAGAGCTGAGAGCCCAAGCCTGCCTCCAGCCCCTCCCTGCACTCCTGCCCGTGGTGGGCAGGCATCTGTCCTTTTGGTTGCTTGTTATCCCAGCAGCCTTCATGGGACCTATGGTAGGGTCAGATGTCATGCAGTGAGGGTCCAGCAGGGCTGTCCTGTGCAGGCTGTTCTGTGCTCACTGACGCACCCATAAACTACTTTTCTACTTGTCTTAACCAGAGAGCACCTCTGTCAGTTGCAATATTGACTAATGACTTCCCTTGGGTTCTATGAGCAGCTCCCTGTGTCAGTCAGCTACTGCAATAATTAGGCCCCATAACAAACAGCCCCACAATCTCAGTGGCATTCCACAGTAAGCATTTATTTTTTGCTTTCACATATGTGGGTTGTTGGGGTTCAGCAGATCCGGGCTGGGCTTGGCTCCAGGCTGTGGGTTGGATCCAGGTTTTCTCCATGCTTCTTGTCCTCCTTGGACCAGCAGGCTGCCCTAGGTGTGTTTTTCCCTGGCTGTTTCAGCCGTGCGAGAGAGCAGGTTTGTTGTGCACGCGCGGTTCAAGACTCAACTGCAGGTTGCTGCCATCCCATTGGTCAAAGTTGGTCACGTGGGGCTCTGGTCTGAAGGTTCGTGTCCCCTGCAAAT